GTCCCTTCTGGATAGTGGACGTTCTCACTCCACTTTGAAGGTATATACGGCTGCTATCTCTGCCCAACATGTCGAGGTCGACGGCGCCACGGTGGGGCGCCACAGGTCGGTGTCCCTCTTCCTGAGGGGGGCCTTACGGCATCGTCCCCCTAGTACCCCGAGGGCTCCGGCTTGGGACCTGCCCCTAGTGCTAGATTGATTGATTGATTGAAAAGTTTATTAACAGCTTGTATATTGGGTACAGTACAGTACAGCTCAAAACATACAATTGTTAAGGGGATGCAGACCAGAGAAAGACTTTCGTCTTGTTTACATCAGGGTCCCCCATTTCCAATTCATCATATCCCTACGATGCCCTATCATCTCCTCCCTTCGAGCCCCTGGCCCATGTAGGGCTTAAGTGGCTGTCCATTTCTGCTTGCCATAACCTCAGGGAAGCGAGTTGGGGAGTTGCATGCCCTCTCCGTGAGCGATACATGCCTGAGGTGGAACTCCGATGGCTCGGGTGTTGCCCTCTGGCCGAATGTGGCGTTCCTGCCCAAGGTGCTTCCACTTGCCCACTCCAATCGGCCCATCCAGCTGGCATGCTTTAACGTCCCACAGGAGAGCCGCACGCCCGAGTTGCTGTGCCCTGTGCGTGCCCTGAGAGCGTATGTCGATGCTACGGCCTGTGTACGGCAGTCAGAGCAGCTCTTCGTTTGCCACGGCGGCATTAGGAAGGGTTGTGCTCTCTCCAAGCAGCGGCTGTCCCACTGGGTTGTCGATACAATCGCACATGCCTATGGGGCCAGTGGCCGCCCCCTGCCATCAGGGGTGAGATGCCACTCTACAAGGAGCGTCTCAACGTCTTGGGCCGCCCTGAGAGGAGTGCCCCTGGAGACCATCTGCGCCGCGGCGTCTTGGGCGTCTTCCGGCACATTCTCCAGGTTCTACCGGGTCAATGTCGCCACTCCCCATCCTTTGGGCGTGGTCCTGTTGCCAAGCTCCGCTGCTTCCAGCTAGGTGAGTATTTGGTTTCTTCATGACATGGTTGGTATAAGTCATCCAGTGCTAAAAGCACCGCCTCTGGCGGTCAGTAGGGACGAAATAGAACGATAGTTACGTCTGTAACTACGGTTCTATGAGTCCCGGATGACCGCCAGAGTTTCCTGTCACTCAGAATTCTTGTGTGCTCGCGAGAAGATTCTGGGAACAGATCCTCTGATGACACGGGCTGATATAGCCGGTGTCACGTGGGTCACAGGTGACTTTGTTGATATTGGTACTCGTACTGCGCATGCGCACGATGGACATATCCAGTGCTAAAAGCACCAACATCTATATTGATTCTGACTTTCCTAAATCCACAGGATGACAGGTTTATCATTACTTTGAGAAAAAAGATGATTAATTTAACCCTTTTAGAAGGGAAGATATGGTCATTTGTTCTGGGAATGTCATTTTCGAGCCTGAGACCTGAAAAACAGGCTCAGGGCTTAAAAGGTTAATATTTCTGTCCATTTCATGTCATGCCTTTCAGCAAAGAGAAGAAGTGAAAATTCGCTGGACACCATGCTCCGAGTGGTAAGTTTTTCCTTAATGACCATACATGTATGTGTTGTACTGGAAGCAAAGGGTTTATACACTGATACAGTAGGCTCATCTCAATTGAATACTTTTGTATTGTATGTTGTTATGTAATTTGTCCAACAGAAGAGAGACACAAATCACTAACATTATATTAGTTATGCTACCCGTACCCGTGCTGTGGGTCTACCACACATGCATCACAAACCACAAGTAAGAACTGTACGTTATTATTTTATAATCAAAACATTATTATAGAATTTGTAAGTATATTTCACACACTTTAATGTTTTTATAGAGTTCGATCTCCTCATTCGTTTAAGAGATTTAATATATTTTACTCTTAATGAAGCATTTAAAACATTTAATGACTCTGATCCTCCTTTAACGGTAAGATCAGCTGCAGTGAGCAGAGGCTGTGCAGCTGGGGGCGGAGCTCTGATGTGCGAGTAGTGTGCTCTCGTGTATCCTACCTTTCGTCTCCTCTGGAAGCCTCCTCCCTCACCCCTCCTCGACTCCTCCGTTTGCGTTGAAGCGATTGTGACGTCCTTCAACATGGCGTGTCTTGATTGATTTCCGGGTCAAGTCCCGGAGGAGGGGGAGAGAGGAGTCGAAGAGGGATATTGAGCTGAACCTAATGTTTCAAATCCTATTTTAAATTGACTTACTTGCCTGATTAAGCATCAGAAATATATATAGCATGACATATTAATAATTATTCAACTGTTCTTTATGTGTGTTTTGCAATGGCAAGGACTGGGAGGACACATGGGAGCCTGCCCAACACTATAGCAGCTCAAAATAATAACACACACACACACAGACACAGACACACACATACACACACACACACACACACACACACACACACACACACACACACACACACACACACACACACACACAATACGTTTTTTCAATAAATTGTTTCAATAAATTGTTGTTTCTGTTGTGTATTTTTTGTACAATTATTTCTCAATAGGGTAAAGCCTTTTAAAATGTTTGGTATGTTAATGCAAATGTGACAATCATTATTTTCGGGCTGCCTCAGTCTTAAAACACAAGATAGATATCAATTTTTGTTATGGTCTTCTGTATATGTCATGAATAATACTGGTACAATTTGAATTTGCCCCAAAACGTGGAAATGCAGACCAGATCTTCTAAATGCCAGGGACCGGAACATCAGGAGCATCTCTAAAAGACGATATGTGACAGTCCTGCAGCAACGGACCATATGAAAAACATTATGTTAAAACCTAGAAACTTATTCTAAACCTATTATCAAAGTATTCACCTGAAATGTAGCACAATTTGGCTCCTGTTAAAAGTACTATTTGAAAATGTAGATTTGTCAGGTCAACATGTGACTTATCTGGTTTGCTATAACAGTTTTACTCCCCAGTTGAACTGTATTTGACAATCATTAAATTCACAAACATAATTTGGGAAATAAATCAAAGACAATAGTGTAAATAAGAAAGGTTTAGTTTTTGAAACTTGTAATGGGGACGTTGATACATTAACTGTCAGCAAGTACATTTCTGTCATATTTAGAAGATAGGAAAAAAAGTGAATAAGTATTCTCTCTAAGGTCGATTGATTTTACAGTGATATTTGCATTACTCAACTCAAAAACACATGATTACACAACATTGATTGGTTTAAATTGTGTGCAATGATTTTGTGTTTTTTCCCCTTCGATTCGGAGATATTTTTTTCTGAGTTTCGGATGGCAGAAGACACTACACTACCTATAATCCTCAGCTATAATACACAGGAACATGTAAAACATGCAATTTATTGTTACTTTGTAATTCTACTCCACCACAATTCAGAGGTTAACCTGGTATTTTTAGTCCACCACATTTATTTTAGTTACTTTGCAGATTCTGATTAATGATGTGAAATATAAACAACCCTTAAATCAGACTTTAGTTACACCTGAGTAAAATTCAGTGAAGGTGATTGTCAAGTGCCAACAATCAGGCGAGATATTTGATAGTTGGTGCTTGAGAAGACTAAACATTTATCTGCAGATCCCTATAAAGTATATTCATTACTCGTTATTCTCTAATCGTTCATTAAAGACTGTATGAAATGGCTATTTGGCACATCCCTTTCAAGATGTTCTAAGGTTTATTGACATATCATATACACAACTACGGTGTAGTTATGCAATGAATGACAAACTTCGCAGGTTCGTCAACAGTGCATTACAAGAGATCTATCAATATGTGTGTACCTCCACCATTAAACAGTCATATTCTGCACATTTCTTATACTATCTACATACATCTTATAAGAGTATAATTAATATGTAATATCAGTTAAAATAAGTGCTTAAACGTAGTTAACATTGCAGGAAAGTTGATTGTCAAGTCCCAAAACAAATTATGCAATATATTAGAATTTAAGTACTTTGTCAGGCTTAATATTTATCTGTAGATTTACCAAAGCTTTTTGCTTACATGTATTTAAAAGAAGACCTTAACTTAAAGTATTATTTAATGTTTTAATAAAGCCTGATTAGTTTGTCTGATTTGCACATCCTCCTATTAATATCTGTGTACATCCGGCACTAAACTTTTATTGTAGAGATCACTTACAGTAGCCTATCTTCTTGATATTTTCTATTCTATATTTCTATCATTGACCTTCTACTTTCCCCCTATTTGTATGTACTCTTAATATTTAAATGTTTTCATCAAATGTAACCCATTCAACAAAACATGCAGCAGAGATTAGCAACACAACCTTACCGGCATTGCAATGACTGTAAACGTGTAATAACGTGCTTTAACCACTAGGGGAATAATACAGACGTATAAAGTACACATGGTATTCAATGCTATCAAAAACACATTATGTTAATTTACATATCTAACTACCATTATCAAGCTACATATGGACTATATGAGGCTTATGCATTGTACCAGGTGTAGGCTAATTATGTAGGCTAAGTCAAAAACAGGCAACTGATGAGGTGTTTGAAAGGTCATTTATGAGGATCAAACAAATGAGGTACACAGAATACAATGCCATTTTATCTGTTTTATTATTAGTGTAGGACAGATATGTATATATAACACCTGAAGATGTTTTATTCATGTTAGTCATTACTTTTAATACTAGTTGAACATTACATTTTTACATTTGTATGTTTAAAAAAACAATATGTTTCTAGTTATTGTGCTTTTTATCATGTTTTTAATTATTGTTTTATTATTGTACTCCCATTGTGTTATTTAATATTGTAGTTATTGCCTGTACAGCACTTTGGTCAACTGAAGGTTGTTTTAAATGTGATATATACAGGATATAGCTATATTATTGCACATATTTTAAAACATCAGACAAAAAGGTTTATCCGCCCCCTCATGGTGCTAATCAGTATGTGTGTTTGCTAAACAGAGATACAAACAGAACATGAGTGAACAGTCAAAACAATTTTTATCAACTTTATTGTTATGGGACCTTGTTTACATAGTGTTTCAGAGTAGACATGTAATAACATCTGAATAAAATTAAATTATAGAAAATGCCTTCAACAGCATATCAACAACCTGAAGAATAACTGACTGGACATACATATTAAGACATTAAGAAATGTGTTGTTTTTTTTTGTCGGAGGACCGCAGCTGACGAGAGGGGGTGTAGGGCTGAAGGAGGTCAGAGATGTATGCAGGGGCTAGGGAGTGGAGAGATGTGTAGGTTAGCAGGAGGAGTTTGTACTGGATGCGTGACTTGACCGGGAGCCAGTGAAGGTGGAGGAGGGTGGGCGTGATGTGTTGCCAGGGCTTAGTGCGGGTGAGGAGCCTGGCTGCAGAGTTCTGGACGTACTGGAGCCTGTCCAGGGCTTTGCAGGTGACCCTGAACAGAACTCCATTGCAGGAGTCCAGGCGTGAGGAGATGAAGGTATGTATTAATGTTTCTGCAACGGGGTCGGAGGGCCGGAGTCTGGAGATGTTTCGAAGGTGAAAAAAAGCAGTTTTGACAGTAGACCTGATGTGGGAGTTGAAGGTGAGGCTAGAGTCCAGAGTGACGCCCAGGCTGGATGGAGCAGCCATCGACGGTGAGGAGCAGATCTCCAACCTTCCGGAGCAGTGTTTTTGGGGCCACAACCATGAGCTCTGTTTTGTTTTTGTTGAGTTTCAGTAGGTTTGTTGACATCCAGGTTTGGATGTTGCGGAGGCAGTTGACTAGTGACAGTGGGGGTAGCTGGGATGATGGATTGGTACTGATGTAGAGTTGGGTGTCGTCGGCATAGGAGTGGAAGTTGAGACCATGTTGGCGGAGTATTTCACAGAGGGGGAGCATGTAGATGTTAAATAGAAGGTAGTCTGGAGGGGGCTTCACCGTGTGTCATCAGAGCTGTCAGAGTCGCAGTCAGAAGACTCATCTGAAAGACTTTGCAAGAAGCTGATGGTCTCTGCTCCAGTCAAAAGCTGCAGATAGCATCGTCTAGTATGAGTCTTAATTTCTCCGATGTCGTGCTGCTTTTTCCTAAACATGCTCTGGAGACCTTTCATCCCGTCTTCGCTCAGGCCCAATGGTGAATCTTAAATGTATAAGATAAAGACAATATTAGTTACTTCATCACCTATCAGTGATGTGTAAAGTCATGCAAAGTAAAAATGTAATATATACTGTACTTTGCATGCAGGACATCTCTTTCAGGGAATCACTGCGGGTTGAAAGGACCTTCCAGTGGTGGTTCATTTCTGTGACGAGAATCTTCTTCTCCTCCTGTAGTCTCTTCACTGCCATGACAAGGTCGAATGCTCTTCTCTTTGTCCTGAGGTCGAAAGAGTCTGGAAAGCATTTTTGACAAAACATGAATTAATGTGTATGAAAGATCAACATTCAAAGAATCTATGAAGTCTTAAATAGATTTATATATCAGACATGAAGGTTTTCCACATTTGCTGTGAGCATTCAGCAGACTGGTGTACTTACCACTGTTTGGTAGCTGCCATGGCCAAGCTTTCTCCACAGACAGAATGGCTTCGAGGCACAGCGCTTCTGTGCTTGGAACCATTGAGTTGTATTTCTCAACTGGTGCTGTCAGGACCCCTTTCTCATCCCTGATCTTGCGGCGGATCCGGGAACGACCTTTGTTGCTGTCTGTGTCTTTGTAGAGACGCTGCGAAAGTCTCTTGACACTTACTGTCAGCATTTCGATCTTGCTGGCCAAGGCAGCAGCATCCCTTGGGTTGTTTGTTGTTGCTTTTTAGAGGAAATAGGTGTATTAAGCACAGTAATTCACAATAACAGTGACATTTGATCAAATGTTTTAATATTATTTTATTACATATGCTTCATGAAAAATAAGTAATGCAAATGTCAATAGAGGGTTATCACTAATTCTGAAAATTAAAAATAAATTGATAAATCATGACTACAAAAAAGTTGAAAAACGTCATTAAGATTGTCCTCACTTTCTGCCCACTCATTCACATCTCTGACCCAGTCTTCCAGCTGCTTTTCAGTCACTGCCAACTCAGCCTTCATGGACTCCAGGTTCTGCAATTGCTTTTCCAGAGCTTTTGTGGTCTACAAACGTCAAACAATTAAAGACAAGTAAATACAGAAATCTACATTTAGGCTGCAGCCACAAATAATTCTTCTAAAACTATGTTATTACCTTCAGATATCTGCGGGACAGTGAGGTGGCCAAGTTGCTGACTTGTTGCTGATTCCAGCGCATGGCCATCAGCGTCAGCATGTCTGTACGTCCTGCAAAAGAGAATATCACATTATTACTATTCCTCTTACTTCTTATACTGTAACTGGGCTTTATACTATATTGCCATCCTAAATGGTGTTCTATGGTCATAACCGTCAATGAGCTTTTATGAGTTTGTGTTGTTGGTGTAATTTGTTAGTGTAATCTGTGCCTTTCTGAACATTTTTTGAAAACTGACAGTAAAGGTTCTATCGTAACTCACCTGCTTTTGACATGTGTTTTGTGGTCACTGCTATCCGAGAGAGGAAGGCATTGACCTGTTCCACCTCCTCCCCTAGGGTTAGTCCAGCCCCCTCTTGATATGCCCCACTCCATTTCACCTGTTTAAAATATATTCAAAAGTACGACTCGTTACAACTTGTCACTATTCACAAGGAGGTTTTTACATAAAGTGATTGTGTCACATGGTAACAATTCCTTACTTCACATTTGAAGTCATGCGCTTTGGCATGAAACACTGAGAGAAAGGCTTCATGTCGAGAAGATGCTGAAGCTCTGGACAGCTTTTTGTGATTCTCTGGAGGTAGGGCCAATATTTGCAGGTCACATCCATGCAAAAGAACATACTACTGGCCAGCTTTTTCTGTAGGTACAGGGGATAAGCAAAGATTTCTCCCCTGTACATATTGAGAGCACAGAGGAGCACTCCATGTCGACGGACGGCAAGCTCTAGTCCCTCCTCATTCAGCTTGCCGGCTGATTTTTGGGAGGTCTCTCTGGCTGCCGACCACTGTCCTCCACAAACATCTCTTCCGGAGACCTAATATATAAAAATGTATTGATGAAAATGGTGCAAAGACTAACCTAACCAAACCCTTCATTAGGATATTATATTATATTATACATAATTAGAGTCTGCAATATTACATGTTTGGTTGTGGTGTGTATATAGTCCACAAATCTTGAGACGTCTTCATCCCTGACTATAAAGACACCGTCAAAGATGGCCTGTTCCGCAGATCTAAATAAATCAAAGGAGCAATGTATGACATCTCAGATTATAAGGTTGATTGGTTCACATCAAGATACTTTTGTTTCGTTATTTGTTCAAATACTGTGACATTATATATTTTCTATAGTACCTAGCTGCATTCTTGAAACGGTAATGCTTGCGGTTTCCATCCACGGAAACTGCAAGCATATCAGGGCTACACGCAGGACAGGTGAAGGGCTCCTCCTTGCACATGATGTCCACCTCATAACGCACAGCCTCCCACTCAAAGAAACTTTTGATGAAGCTGTCAGTTGAGATCTTCCCAGTCTATAACAAAATAAGGACATCAACAGATAATTATATGTCAAAATAAATTATAAATTATAAGGACACAGCTTACAATTTGTACAATACAAATAGATCAAAAAGGACAAGTAACTTCAATACTCACACGGCCGAAGCGCAACGTTCGCTGATCTAGCATCCTTAAATATGGCTGAAAGGATAGTCCAGGTGCAGCCATTTTCATTTCTTCAAATGAGAAGAAAACATCTGTGTCATAAATGGTGGCGAAGTGAAGGGTAGCTGGCCAGTAGTCACTCCGAAGAAGGTCGTCAACCCCAGTCGTCCATGTCGCAGCGCATGCTTCACAAGCCAACTCTGGCATGCTTAGCTCATGTCGTCCTTGAAAAACAGACACGGTGTTTTTAATACATTTGGTATTCTTTACTCAATACCCATGTTAAGGTTTAATAGACAAGCTATCCCACATGTGCGGGTCTTTGAGAAGGGTTGGATATTATCAAGAAGAAACTTCAATAACATCTATCTTAAGAAACAAGACAAACATTCTTCCCATTCTTACCATTCATTGTGATCACAGTCACAGTCTTTCCTGGCTTGAGGCTCAATGACTCTGATGCACAACCACAGATTTTGTCCGGGATCTCCACAGGTACAAACCGTACTGGAAAAAAATTCAAATGGGAATTAAAAATAATTTGTCTCTTTTGAGAAATACAACATTGTTATGTGACATATTTAGGATTTAACTTTACATCAGAACATTAAGAAGAGACTTAAGCACACTGCTGGGAATTAACACAGAGATGTTGAGGAAGCTCACATTTTCAAAATGAAGTTCTCAACAAGTCCAGCAAGAAAATGTACATTCACAAACCAGAACTTACCACAGGAGCAAAGGGCCATATTTAGTACATGTGTTGTTGGGGCCAATGGCTGAAAGTAACCTGCAGTAGTAGCATCTCTGTTGTGGAGGGGGTGTCTGGTGTGCATGCTGACATCACAGTCAGCACAGAAGAAGGGATGTGGTCGGCAATCCCGGCACCGGACAACAGACGTTTTGCTCCAACACTGTTGGCAAATGTGTGTTCCCACATTTGCTTGGGCCACTACGCTGTTAACCAGATGTGGTCTCGCTGCCCTCCAGCTCTCTGAAAAAAAACTTTTTCGAGTGCTCCAGTTGGTCGATGCCAGCAGAGAAGCACTTGGGGTTTGTGCTACCACCTCATCTCCTGTAGTATCGCTCAGAGACTGCTGGAGATCTCGTAGAAACCCCTCTGTTAAAATGGTACAATAAAGTCCAAAGCACAATGATTAGTTTTCTTTAAAACATACTGGATGGAGTGGTTTTGAAAGCTGTAACTACTGTGTTCTTAATTCTAGCAAATTATGAAGTTTAGAAATGAAGTACGTATCACATAAAGATACAAGTATGAATATGTGTTTCGGGCTAACCAGACCAAATGAAGTACATACCAACAGTCTCTGGAGCGATAGCTGGAGCAAAGACCAGATCACAGTCAGGGTCAGGAGCATCAACGGGGGGATCAGTGTTACGACTGCAGCCAGCTATATCAGAAAAAACATTTATTTGATACCATTAAATTGTACTACTTTTCCCTTACCAAGAGTTATGTTTTCATTCATTTCATATACTCAAGTGCCTAGAAATATATATCTTATACTGACCCTGATTTGAGACATTCCGGGTTGAACGTGGTCTTGCAAAGTCAAGTCAAAATCAAGTTTCCCTCACTGTCTCTCTTCTTCCAGCACATCATTGACACTGCTGGCACTGCTGTTGCTGCTGCTGCTGCTGCTGCTGTTGCTGCTTCCACTTTACAAAGCAAATCATCAGCACTCCGTAGGTCATCCCTTAACCCTTTCTGCTCAACCAGCTCATCTGCGCTTCTCAGGAGATCCTCAAGATCAGAATCACTCATTATAGTGAAGAGACACAGACAGAGACACAGAAGAAAGACTGACAACAGAGTTAGACAGAGAAAGAAATAGAGAGATAGGAAGAGACTATCAAGTACAACACAGCAAGGACAGTTTAACAAGACAGACTTGGCTCTTAAAAGTGCCTTTGGGTTGTTTGGAGTTTGGAAAAACAAAGGGTTGTTTTTTTGGAGAACAAATTGCAGGATCTGTTGAGAGAAAACAACATAATTTAGAAACTCAAAAATAAACAAACAATGCCAGTGTAATTGTTGTTGTTTACAATTTTCTACTTGGCTAATAACCAATTAATGCTTACTACTGTTGTCATTAAAGGTATTTTCACACCATCGCACAGCAAAATCACTGCCACCAGTCATTTAAATAAGTAATTTGTACAAAAATTATAAAAGTATTATTACTATTAATACTAAAAACACATGTATACAAAGTATTATTAATAGATTTACGATTCGAAAATGATAAAAGCAGAGTAGACATGTGGAGATTATCCGGCTGAACAAAACGTGATCCGTCTCTTAAATGTGTGTCAACCACAGACCTTATTTCGAGCTATTTTCCAAAATCCTATGGAGAAATTGCAGTGCGTTTTCTAGCTAGCTAGCTCAGGCGAGTTCATTTGTTATATTTAGGTAATACCCTAGTAGACATGTGGAGATTATCCGGCTGAACAAAACGTGATCCGTCTCTTAAATGTGTGTCAACCACAGACCTTATTTCGAGCTATTTTCCAAAATCCTATGGAGAAATTGCAGTGCGTTTTCTAGCTAGCTAGCTAGCAAGCTAGCTCAGGCGAGTTCATTTGTTATATTTAGGTAATACCCTATATTATTTAGTTACTATACCCCTCAGAAAGGTGCCAGTAACAACATTGGCGCCGATTCGATTATTATTATTATTATTCGTGGCTAAGTTTATTGTATTTCCTATAACTATGTGTTACCCATGCTCTTACCTTGATTCTGAAGAACTGCGACTCTCTCATCCAGGTTTGGTCACGTAAAGTGCAAAGGTATGCCGTCTTTACGACGGTACCTGAGGATTGTGGGTAATGTAATCACAAAGCGGACAGAAGTCGTCACAACAATAGCTGGGGATTGTGGGTAGTGTAGTGTCTTCGGCCATCCAAAACTCAAAACTACTTGTTTCTCAGAATTGAAGGGGAAAACGTGACAAAAGCATTGTACACTAAAACCTATCAATGTCGTTTCATTAACAAGGATAATCTGGTGTTTTTGAGTTAATGAGTAGTGCAGATATCACCTATTTATGTTTCATCCAATCACAGAGCTTGTTGACTTATCACAAGGTTTTGTCGCAAAGCGGACAGAAGTCATCACAACAATAGCTGGGGATTGTGGGTAGTGTAGTCTCTTTGGCGCTCCACATTTCAGAGAAAACAAGTTGTCTCAGAATTGAAGGGGAAAAACACAAAAGCATTGTACACAATTTAAACCAATCAATGTTGTGTAATTAACAAGGATAATCTGGTGTTTTTGAGTTGATGAGTAGTGCAGATATCACTGTAAAATCAATCGACAGTAAGGAGAATACTTACTTCCGGGTGTACAATTCTCCGTTATCCAATGGGAATGGACGCTCACATTGCCTTTAACAGCTGCCCACACAAACGAATGCCGTGCTTCCCTAAGCGTCAAATACCGCCGCCGATGGGAATGCATTGCAATCAGTTGAAAGCTCTTTGCATCTGTTTATGACGCTGAAGGAGCCTCGGCGCGTCACAACTGGATGTCATCCAGTACCGGCCCACACAGCCATGGATCCGTGCACCAGTACCGGCCCACACAGCCATGGTTCCGTGCTCCATTACCTGGCTCACACAGCCAGGGTCCAGGCTTCTGTTCCGTGCCCAGCAGCCATGGTCACTGCTCCAGAACCGGACCTTACAGTCATGTTTCCGTGTTCCAGTGCCGGCCCACACAGTCATGGTACCGTGCTCCAGTACCATCCCACACAGCCATGGTTCCGTGTTCCGGTTCAGTGCCCAGCAGCCATGGTGCCTGCTCCAGTACCGGCCCACACAGTCATGGTTCCGGCTCCAGAACCGGCCCACACAGCCATGGTTCCAGCCCCAGTTCTGGCCCCAGCAGCCATGGTTCCGGCCCCAGTTCTGGCCCCAGCAGCCATGGTTCCGGCCCCAGTTCTGGCCCCAGCAACCATGGTTCCGGCCCCAGTTCTGGCCCCAGCAGCCATGGTTCCAGCCTCAGTCCTGGCCCCAG